AGCAGGCCACTTGGAGAAGAGGCTCTTTGGGCGGTAGTGCTCAGCAATGTGAAGCTGATGAGTGTCCAGGTTTAGCTGATTGAGGTGCACCTCAAAAACGACCATCTCTGTGTTGATCACAGTCACATGGGAAGCATTAACTCCAACACTGAACAGGGGATATGGCTTATGGCTTTCAAAAACTTGGCATGCTCTCTAAAAAGAATGAAAGTGTAAACTCCAGTGTTTAGGTCCAAGTTGAGAAAAGCACACTTACCGAACATCTGATTGTGAGCACCAGAAAGCAGAAGAGTGCCACCCTCAAAAGACATTTGTTTCCGGTCATTTGAGCAAGTTTGTCGGTCGTGAGAAGTAAAAGTGAACTCGTTTTGCTAAAGGAAAAAGGTTCCTTTTATGCACTTTGACTTACACTATTGGTTTTTTGCAATAACACCATCAATTCTGTTTCGAACAACTGTAGTCAACAATAGTCAACTTCTGGTGATATCTTGAAGACATGCTTTTGACAACTCTACTTTTTGTTCTCTTTCTCTCAAACTATGATGAAGATGTCTGCAAAAACCCATCGCCCACAGCCCACCACCACCACTTTGCCGATGATCATCATCTGGCTGGTGTTGCTTGTACACTTTAATTTGCCCGTCAACGGCGCAAAGAACTGCAGCCAAAACAAATCTCCCTCCTGTAAATTTGCGAAGGTAAAGAACACCTTATGGTAACTCTGTAAATAGCCTTCGGTAATCACTCCCATGTTACTGCCACTAGACCTGCTGGGACGGCAAAGTGTACCTGGCGCTGGGCGTGGTGGCCTCAGCGTACATTCCCAAACTGCTGCCCCACATAGGCAGCGGAGGACTTTCCGCCCTCCACTGGGCCATCTACCAGTCTGCCAGAGTGCTGAGAGCGAAGAGCATTGAGCCGATTGGGGAGTTCAAGCTGAAGTCCCCAACAACGCCTCCTCCTCCCATCTTGCCAACACCAAATGAGGAGGAGGAGGAGGAGGGTGACCGACTGCTGCTGCCAGTGCTGGCCATTCTTCTGTTCGCTCTGCTGTGCGCTCTCCTCCTCCTCTGGAGCTGCTACTGTCGAGGGCAGTCAGCAGAGAGGTGGACCGCTTTGAAGGAAACAGCGGGACAGCACTTCAGCCGCTTCTGTCCCTGTTGTCCCATTGCTGCTCAAGAGGGAGAGGAGGAGGAGAAGGGAAACAGTGCTGCCAGCACTCAACAGCAGCAGCAGCAGATAGCTGGTTACAACCCCGGCGAAATGTTACCCTTCATCATGGAGGCACCTGCTGAGAACGGCGAGCAGCCTTTTGACGCCTGGCCAAAGCGGGGAAAGTCCAAGAAAACGAAGAAGAAGAAGAAGAAAAGAAAGACCACTTCCCCACTTGTGTTCGAGTCAAGCGTCACGACTGAGGAGGCGAGCAGTAGTGAGGTGCCAAAAAAGCACAAAAAAAAGAGCCGCAGTCGAAAATCATGAGTCCTGCTTGTGTGCACTAATCTGTACAGTTGCACATTTTATTTTGCCAAGTTTGATGGCTGTATATTTGATCCCCTTTACGACATTGCACATTGTCGACTTATAGTAAATCGTAAAAGTAATCCAGTCCTTGTCCGATTTCCCAGATAGACAGACCAGTGCCCATTGTGCTTGCCAGTTCAATTCGCTTGTGAATTGAGTACAGCGAAGGGAAGAATACTCGACTGCGACCGACGGACTCTCTGGAGTTAAAGGGAAAATAGTTTTAGTTTGTAGGCGAAATAGTAAACACTCACTTGTACTCAAAGTAGTGCTCAGCAGAGGACTGATCGAACATAATCTTCGGTCGGTGTTTGTCGAGAATTTCAATGTACCTGTTTTCAAAGCAAAAACTTAACAAAATTAAATCTTCAGTTGTCAACCGTTTACCGATTGCCCAAAATTGGACCGCCACCGTCGACTGAGTAGTCGTAGCCGTAAAAGTTCAAACCAAGCAGAATTTTTTTGCGTATAGGACTAGAGTTCTTTGGTGTCAAGGACTGAATGCACGCCTTCATCCAGGGAAGAGGGCTGTTTGGGCCTGGCCGAGATGGATCAGAGTAATCGTACGTCATCAGACTAAAACCCTTCACGTAAGGCGATAAACGTTCAATGTCATCCTTTTGGAAGGTGCTCAATGAGCCTCTAGGAAAAGTTCAAATAAGTAGGATGAAACTTTTAATTTTAAAGCCTACCCAAAGTAGAGTGGCGGAGGGACGGCAAGAAAAAGCTCTAGGTTGTGCTTCTTAAAAACTTCACTAATCAGTGAAAACATGTGGACTAGATCCCTGTAAAAAAGAGGTAAATGAGTCACATTAAACATGCGAAAATTAGTCAGAAAACACATACAAGCGATGCTGACCGCCGTATGCCCGCCAGATTTCAATAACGTAGCCATTAAAGTCGTACTTCTGAAAATTGATCAAAATTTAGACAAATGGTAAATAGTTCATAAACCACCCAACTGCACCTTTGCAAAGTCACTTAGATGTTCAGCGATAGTCTTGACCAGTTTATCACGACTCAAAAGAAGCAAATATTGCGAATGCTGCATCTGCTCAAAGATAATTCGAGGAACTGCAAAGTAAAATCGATGAAAAATAAGACACTGGAGCACACTAAGTGAACGTTAAAATCTTGCCAATTTTTATCTCCGAGTTCGCACTGCGCAAGTCTTGCATCCACTGGTAGTCGATGTCATGTGTTCCACCAATGATGATGTCCTCCTGTGCGTCATTTAGCCTGGCCTGCAGCCACACCGGTGATATGTGGGTAAACTTGTTGGCGAACCACTTGGCAATGTCGTACCCATGCGAGTTCCACTAGAACAGTTCTAATAGTTACAAAGTGACATTTAAAGTTTTCTCCCACTTACAGGCGTGACATAGGCGAGGACGGTGCCATTAAAGTCCCGTTGCCCTTGTTGAGAAACAGAATACGATTTGTGCTCTCGCAAAATGTCTTTGGGCTTTGAGCTGGTAACGACGAGAGCTCGATCAAAAACCGTATCATTTCCAGGTGAGTTGGCTTCGATAGGCTAAAATGGTGAAAGTCAAACAATAAAAAATGAATCTATCGAATCTTCAAATTACCTGGAATGATTTGGAAGGCCTTTTCACATCGTTTGGCCCAATTGTAGCGCCAATTAAAGTGAATGCACTACAAAAAATACAAAAAACCAAAAGAGGTGAAAAATGATTGGCAATTGTCATTTCGCTTGCAGCCAAATGTAAATTCAACCACAGAATAATTCAAAATGTTGGTCAGAACTGATTGACAGTCGGTGTAACCAGGAAGGGAGTCCAGGTGTAAGAAAATCACAAATCAATAAGGTCGCTATGTTTGGCAGGTGGCGATGTCATAACAACAACAACAACGGCAGCAGTGGTGGTGGTGGAATGCAAATAAGACAAGCGTTGGAAACACAATTGTAATTCAAATGCCGCCCACTGCTAGGGCGGAGACGACATCGATTGGCAGTCGCTCCAAATGAAATGGAATACCGCTGATTGAGATCGACCGGTTGAACCAGAATACCCAAACAACCAGACCCGCTCTATATAGCATCCTATTTCAACTGGAACAGCTGCTGCTGCTTCTGCTGCTGCTTTTGCTGATTCGCTGCTCCCTGCTCTTGTTTTGGTGCTGAAGTAAGGTGTCGTACAAGAAAGATCTGGCCAAGCTGTCATTTGTCTCCTTATCTCATTCGTCTCAGTCGAACCACCACCATCACCACCACCTTGCCCAAAGATGAGTTCCAAAGACAAGCTGAACGTGTTCCCGTCGCGGATGAATCTGACCAACATGAAACTTCGGCTGAAGGGCGCCCAGAAGGGGCACTCGCTGCTGAAGAAGAAGGCTGATGCGCTGCAAATTCGCTTTCGCTCCATCCTCAAGAAGATCATCGAGACAAAGAGCATGATGGGCGACCTGATGAAGGTGGCCTCCTTCAGTCTGGCCGAGGCCAAGTTCACCGTGGGCAGTGACTTCAATCACATCGTCCTGCAGAATGTGACCAACGCGCAGATCAAAGTTCGCTCGAAGAAGGACAACGTTGCAGGCGTCACACTGCCCGTCTTTGAAANCGTCTTTGAAACTTTTCAGAACAGCAGCGACTCCAATGAGTTTGCCGGTCTCGCCCGAGGTGGCCAACAGCTGGCGAAGATCAAGCGAAACTACGCCGAAGCAATTCAACTGCTGGTGGATCTGGCCTCGCTTCAAACTAGCTTCATCACCTTGGACGAGGTCATTAAAGTGACGAATCGTCGTGTGAATGCCCTCGAGTACGTGGTCATTCCTCGCATTGAACGCACCATTGCGTACATTTCCTCGGAGCTAGATGAACTTGAGCGCGAGGAGTTTTTCCGCCTGAAGAAGGTTCAAGAGAAGAAGAAGAAGGTCCGGGCAGCGAACGACGCCAGGATGAAGGAGCTCAAAGAGAAGGGCAACTTTGTCGAGCCAGCCAACATTTTGACCAACGACCACGACGATGATCTTCTCTTCTGAGCCTTCCATCATCTTCAACTCTTGTTTCTTTCCAGTGTAACCGTGTGCATTTTCTTTTTCCGCCACTTATTTATATTCTTTCAATGTGGTTTTACACATTTTTCTGCTGTAAATAGGCCTCTTGTTTCCACTTACAAGGAATCTCCTCTTCTTTTCAGTATTGTTGTTTCTTCACCGCTAGAACAATGTTGCCAAACACAGTCTAGAAAAGTCAACGTTCAGAGTTTTTTTATATTAAGCGTTACCGTAGATCTGTTAAAAATAAAATAAAAGTGATTTGAAATGAACAAACGCGTTGTAGCTGTATAAATAGGAGCACTAATGGTTGTTTGTTATTGTTATCTTGCTCAAGAAAGTGCTCATATTTTTCATCATGAATCCTCGTCTGCCGTACAATCACTGTCGAGTTCCGCTGCCGAACAGTCGGGCTCGTCCAATGATCGGCCAAGCTGGTCCGACAAAGTTCTGCTATGAGGTTCCATTCGACCAGGACTACGGTCACTTTGGCGTCCACTTGGCAACTCGGTTCCACTACTTCTCCGTCAACACCTCAGCCAAGATCGACCAGTGCTACCTTCCGGTTGAGATATCCATTGTTGAGTTTAGCTTCAAACAGGGCACCATTAGAAGTTATCATCAGTTTCTCGAGCAGAACATTCCCAAAGGACTCAGCTATGACGCCATACTGCAGCAGGAAAAGCACCGCATCAACGCGGAAAAGAAAGGCGAAGCAAAGATGAATGCCGTCTTTGGGAAGATAGTTGACTTTTTCAATCAGTCTTCGGTGATTGTCATGTTCTGTGAGGATAGCAAACTGAAGCAGAACATTGACATTCTCCATTGGTTAAAGTCAAAATACAGGTGACAGTATTCTCATTGACGATTTGAACTGCTAACAATTTTACTTTTTTTTCAGCGAGCAGAACAAGCATTGTGTTAGCACCGTAAAGATGTACGGCATCACACAACTGGCTCAACACTTTCTGGAGGCTTCTGGCAGTACTCTGTCACCCAAGAACCTGATTCGGCTGATGCAGAAGCCCTTCTTTGACTCGTATCTCAGCAAGCAGTGCCACTACCATCG